AGTAGCAGTGGAGTGGTGGAGTGGGGCCAGAGGAAATGGAGGGGAAGATTGAAAGGACGGTGGGAAAAGAAAAGAAGCAAACTGAGAGAGAAGGATCGCTCGGTGAGCAATGTGCCGTAAGAAAAAAAAAAAAGGAAAAAAGAATGAAAGAAAAAGCAACAGAGAGATTTGGAATCTAGTTCGAATCGGCGCCAAGCTTCTATTTCTACTACGAAAACCAACCACTACGAACCGAAACCAGCAGCTGCCATGAGGTTATCACCAATCCATCCAATCGCTCTCCTGTACCCAAGCCTTTTGGCGAAGGTGCAATATTCTGTTTTAAGGGTTGAGGTAGCATTCAAAGTGCATTCACCGTTCACATGGGCATGGTTGAAGGTCTGTTCGTTCGCGGTCTGGACCTGACGCCTCACGTCTTGGAACTTGGGGGTTTTGCTTTTTTTTTCCCTCTTCTGTCCCTCACTCCTCCTCACGATGCGTTTGGGTATGGTGGTGGTGCTACTTTGTTCGAGGTTAGGTTCGATAGCACATCATGAAATGTGAATTGGAGTCGTCGTAGTAAATAACCCGACTCGACCGGCCACCGGCATACACTACCCATCGCATCAGAGGACGATGGATGGGCAAAGCAAAGCAGAGCAAGCAATGTCGAAATGTGAATGCTGGCAGAGAATTTGTCTGAATCGAATGCTACGATGCCCATCATTGTAGTGTAGCGTTGTTGGATGCCCGGTTGAGGTTATGCCGATGTTTTCCCAACGACCTGGCGAGCGGGTGCCTGCCATGTCCAAAAGAAAAGGCAAAGGAAGAAGTGCAGAAGGAAGAATACTAATCCGGCGGCCCCTCAACCGGGAAACTCTTTGGTTACCTTTTTAGTTGCCATAAGGTTACCTTTAGCAGATGCCCAGAGGAGGAAGGACGGGACGTGATTGGCCAGTGCGGAAACAAACATGATTGGATCTATATCGTGGCGTTTCCCCAAACCGCCGGGGTGAGAAGAAAATGGTTCGATGGTGACGGCCCGGATGGGATTTCTTGAATCGATCGGATTTCATGGCACACATTCTTGAGATTCACATTCGACCTTGTGAGATGACCATGAGCAAGGACGATGGTCGGATCACTTTACTACATAGCTGTGTTTGTGATATGGTGATGACGCTTATGGCGGACTCGCCTTTTTGAGGCGGGCAGAATGACGCTGATTCTGACACAGCACGTCTCAACAACTACAACAACAACAATGGAGGCAACACTCGACCAAGAACAATGGTTAGTTCCTGACGTATTGGTTCTGGGTGGCACAGCTTTTGAGACAGAAGCGGGTTAGGTTAGTGGTTTTTGTTTTCGATAACCGAAACAACCCATCTCCTTCCGTTCGTTCGTTTCTCGATCCGTGGGGAATACATACCTGGTCTCGGCACAAACTTTTTGTCTTATATCACGGACCCATTTGCCCGGATCGGCGAGTTCAGGGTATTCGAGGCAGGGCAACAGGCATGGCAATGAGTGGCAGGGCAAATGCAGGCTCATCGTCCCCGAGTCCCCAACTCTCCCAAACTCACCCAACCAACTGAACGGACTTATGTCTGTCTCACCTTGACGTGCATCTGTTGGCACTTTTTGGCACTTAACTTGCCTTCCATGTCATTCCTTCATCTTAACCGCGCAACCGCGCAGCAATGAGGGAATGGCTCATATGGGTGTAACTACGGCGTAGGTGTAGTGTAGTATGCGTGGCAGTAGCAAAGAAGCAAGAAGCAAGCGCTTACCCACTCGCTCTGCCACTGTATCATCAGTCATTTCTCAAACAACTACTAGGTAGGTAGTCCAAATATTATCCCACATGGCGTCCGTCCGTCCGTCCGACCGACCGACCGGTCCGTTGGCTAGTTCACGGCCGGAAAGCCCGATCCGAGGGGGAGGAGAACCCCCTCTCTATAGCCTTGCCGTCCAGCTGCTTAGTGCATAAACAGGGTAGTCCGCGCCTTGTGTGTGATGACAAGGATGACCGGAAGGTGGGAGGACTGGCGTTCGCAGGCAAAACAGTCTCCGTTACTTTCCGAGCAATCGGGGTGACTGTTGCTACCACTGCATCGACACTGGATGGGTTGTGGGGTGGTGATGGTTGTCCGTTGGTGGTGATGGTGGTGTTGAAACCTTTGGCATGCCATGCCAGGGTCCCCTTCTTTCTGTATACATTTTGCTGCTTTTTCCTGCTTCTATTGCTTGCTTCGGGTTGACGGTGGCGTTGGCAGGTCCCCGGAAAATGGAATGCGCCCTGCGGCCTGACCAGGGGTTTGGACACTGGTAGACTGGCAACTGGATAGGCTACATTACCCTTCAAAGCCAGGTTTCTGATTCAGTGGTAACGTATCCTTCTTTCTTTTCTTTAGTAATAGACAGTCCGTCATGGCAGGCCGATCGCGAAAGATGGAACGCTTGTCGTTGCGGTCGTTGCTTTTAATCGACGACTGGAGTTGGCAATCCAATGTTTGGCAGTGGTGGCGGTGCTCTGCCGAGAAAATCGGACCATAATGATGGTAAGATCATGGCAGCGATGACGGACTCGGCAGACGGGAGTAATATGAACCACGGCACCGGAACGGCGTGCTGCCGATTAGCATCTCAACACAGTCCGAAAGAGATCGAGGTGGAGTTGACCTGGAAGAGATAACTGCGACTGGGACTAGAGGTGGGAATGTGCTGTGCTCGGAGGAAACTTCCATCCACATGCTATTTCGTTACGGAGCGGCACGGCCAGGCAGGGGAGACAGGAGGGCCATCGCTGCCCAGGGAGAGAAGAAAAAGAAAAACGGCGTTTTACACAGCTGAGATTCCCAACTCCCAATATTATCAGGAGAGGAAGGTAACGCCGTGATAGACGCTGTCTCAACTCTCATCGACTGGATATGTCCATGACTAGTCATGTCAACTGGAAGACACGAAAGGTCAGTATCTGTCAAAGAACCCTGTCAGCCTGTCAACGCATGTCTGTCACTCATGTGGATATTTGGGCAAGCGTAATCTCGTGTAGACATGTCTAAGGGACGGCTTGTCAACTTCGCATAAGGAAGGATGCTACCCGAGAAGTTGACAGGTCATCTTGACTCACGGATCGGATCTTTCCTCTTGCCCTCTCCTCTCCTTCACTAGACCACAAACAGAGCAAGCACTCTAGATCTTGCTCCTTCCCTTTGAAGGGGGTTTCTGCTTGCGTGATATTGGCTAGTGGGAAGGAGCAGGTCATGGGATCCTTGAGTTGAGGGGAGGAGAGAGAACGGGGTAGCTTCGTTCCCATTGTTTCAGCGACCGGTCGAGTATCGTATACACTCCATACCATACCGGTATTGACTGAAACTTTGCCTGCCGTCTTCAGAAATGGGATGGATGGGTTTCTGTGGCTGTATCGGTTGACGAGCTGAGAGCATGCTGCTGCCGCAAACAACAAGTTGAGTGGTGATGATTGTATGTCTTCGTGGGGGGACAAGTGATCAGCGACTGATGTACTGCAGGTCACGTTAAAACTTTGGCATCTCACCAACCTGTAGGCCCGTGATCATCGCCGTGGTGTTGCCTTATTGTTGCTGTTGCCTAGCTGGCTGCCAGGTAGGCGCAGTTAATCTGAGGATAGGCGCATATTTCTTTGCCACACCGAGTGGGTGAGGCAAGCGTTACTGAACGTGAATGGGAAGACAATATTGATGCTGTTCTTGTCCGGTTCATGATGGTACAGAGAGTGTATGTGGCAGAGGTCGACCTGTTCACGATGACCAAAGACTTCCCTTGACTGAGCAACATTGAACGACGATCTACAAGTGACACTCCCATTTCACTCTCTGTTGGTTTTTCTTGCGAGCTACGCTACTCTCATGTACTCACACTCGCTATATAGAGGTACACACTGAGTAGGGAGAGGAGTTAAGGAATGATCGACACAACAAATGGGATTCACACAGTCAGTGTAGATGAGGCTTTGTCTGTCGATCGCAACGGGCTGACTAGGCATCAATTCTGGCCCACAACTTTACCCCATCCAACCTCATCTGCCAACGCTCATCGAGATTTCAGGATGTGCGAAAGCAAGTATCTGTGTGAACAAGTACATTTGGGCTCCAATACCCCCTCCACCCACGCACACTTTCTTCGTGAACAGGTTGACCACCATCTTCTTCACAACTCACCCGTCATGCACGAACAGGTACACCACCTCCTGCATCTCCCATCATTGCAGGACACTATCCCCTGGGAAGATAACCGGGCAGTAACACCGTATGTAGCTACCAGTCTACCAAGACGACACTACCCATGCAGTGTAAGTTGACGAGTCATGGTTCAGTTAATGAAAAGACGATACGAGGAAACCGGATCTCGCTGTCCTGCTGTTCCCCGTCGTTACATGACCACGCATCACCTTGATTGTAACTGTTTGTCTGCTAGAAAAGCAAAGCTGGAGTTTCAAAAAGATAGATCCCATCGACTGAGTGTGACCAGTCATTCACTCAGACACTGATCCGTGAAGTGGCGGGTAGTGTCTCCAAAAGCCAGAGGTAGGTACCGTTCAAGTTGGAACTATGTTTGAGTATGTACCAAATCCCCATCACTCTGCTGTTACCACCGGGTGTGACCGTAATGAGCTTTTGGTCATAAGAGATACAAACGCTGGTGGAGCGTGTGAAGGGTGTGAAATAAATCATAAAGGTGGATGAGTCGTGACGATACCGTTTTGGAAAGTGACAGTGACCAAAGAGGGTCGGGTAAGATTCACTCTGGTTGAAAGTGAAGTAAAGGCACTGCAAAGCCTATTATAGCTGAAGCAGGAACAGACAATTCCAGATGCCTCTACGCAACAGTCTTTGGGATGAATTTGTGAAACCAATGACGAAGATGCCAGATGGCTTGATGTGAACTGAATCAACCAACATACTTCCCTCGAAATGACCCGAAACTCAGAATATCCATCACTCTAACCAAGAAAAGAAAACACACTGTTCTCACCTTCATCGTCCACCACCTCTCAATCTCTCCCACAACGGTAACTGGGTTCTCTTCTTCGCCTTCTTTGACCTGCTTTCAACACCAGTCCCCGTTTCAGCTCGTCCTTCCCCATAGCTACTCATCCCACTCTCATCCTGCTGCCACTCCGGCGGCATTGGTGACACAGTCCCACTAGTAGCCATCCCCATGCCACTAGCAACCCCAACCCTTGCCAACTCTCAGAGATAGGGTCGACCCCATCATAGTAATTATCGTTGTAGTTATCCATGGAACCACCTTGGTCATAAGAGTCGACCTTTCCTGAAGGGTATGCGTATGGCGTTGAACCGAGCGCCGCATCGCCACCATATTGATGATAACCGGAAGAGTCTGCAGTAAACGCAGGGTCTTGGTTCATCAGACCCAAGCCCAAGCCACTTGCTTCGCGCATCTTCTGCAGCCCACTGACCAAAGGCTCTACTAGTTGTGCTTTGTCATATCCTCCTTGAAACTGGTTGCTAGAAGCTCGTGCCGTGTCTGTGTCCGCGGTTGCACTGAAAGGCGGAGGAGGTGGTGACTGCTGCGGTGAAACAGACTCGTCGCCCACATTGTCGGTTTGAGTAGTGGTCGATGGGCCATCGTCGCTCTCTCGACTTCCCAGAGTGTGGCCCTCAACACTAGCACTAGCACCAGCACGCCTTTCATGCTCGCCTCTCATAGCCACCGCCTTCCTCCACAGCGCCGGAAACCTCGCCTGCAGCTCCATCTCCAGGTCTTTCTGCCTCTGATCCACCGCCCGAGCCCTCTCCTCTCTCTTAGCCGGGCCCAGCTCAGTAATCCGCCTCCCTCCAAGCCCTTCGCCGCTTTCGTTAAACTCTTTAAGCCACTCTTCATACTCCCTGTTTCTCCTCTGTCTTTGTTCTTCTTCAGTCGCATGGTGGTTCAAGGCTTGATCGGAGTCAGGGACACTCTTCCACTTGCTGCCCGTGATCCACTTAACAAAACTATCCGCAAACTCCCTATAATGACCCTTCAAGATGAAACACTGGCCCTTCCAGCCCTTTCCACAGAATTGGGCCAGTAACGCGTTGGCGACGGGGCACTCCCAGTCAAATTCTATGTTCCGATCGTAGATTACGACACAGCGGGACTGGTACCAGCCGTTGAAGGAATGACGGGAGGAAACGTCGGTGAAGGTGTCTTCGATCATCTCGAGCGAGGCATGCTGGATGAAGGAGACGGGGCAGCGGAGGTTTATGGCGGAAGAGATGTGGGACCTTTCGAAGTCAACGGAGGAACGGAGATCTAGTAAGAGGATGGCGCCGCGGTTGGGATAGATGGAAAGGATGGTGTTGAGGTGGCCTGGGAGGATCATGCGAGCGGTGCCGTCTTTGCTGGCAGGAGTCTGGCGTGCGGAATTGCGGTGGTGGAGGCCCTGGAGGTTGAGGGTTGTTTGTTCGTGCTGCCGGCGGTGGTCGAACCAGAGCTGATACATCATGTCAGTATGTAAAGCCTAGATATTACAGGGTATAGTGACCTACACCAATTGTGTTTGGATCTGCGTTTAATGTGGAGGAAAGGAGGCCGATAATTGCTTCACTAGGTTGCGGGTCCTTCCGGAAACAATCCTCCAAGTGGGCGATCGTCTCCCGACTCAAGTCTGGGGCCTGATGTGTAGGGTCGATAACGTGCTCCAGTGGCCAGGCTGGTGTGCTTGCTAGGTTGTCGGTGGCCATTGTCAACGAAATAGCACTACAGGATGCGGCCGGCAAGTCTGATGGACTGGACAGAGACGGGTCAGGCGATGATGACATGACAGCTCCAGCCAGTTGTTCCCCCATATAACTCAGCACGGAGGGCCGAGAAACCAATTCTTGTCTAGGTTGTTGCATTTCGCGTGTTCCAAAACTGCCAGATTGTCTGTATGTACGTGCTTGAGCATCAGTTCGGTGAGTGTCTTCGGGGTGATTTGTAGTCATCTCGGACATCAAAGACTCCGTATCAGCATCCATCGCCTGGTTCTCCTCCTCCTCCTCGTTCCTGGCCGTTACTTCGTTTTCTGGTGGTAACTTTGTCGTGCCCGATTCACGTAAAAGGTTGTTGGACCTGATGAAAGCTATGAAGGAACATGCTGGGTCATCCGGGAGAAGATCCCAAACCATAATAGGCAAGGAAAGGAGAAGCAATGTCGAATGGCTTTTGAAGACTCCTTGAACTTTGACGTATTTGGCAATGGCTGGAAAGCCGGCTAACCACTGCTCCCAAGCGTTGAGATCCAATCGCTGGTCTTCTTCGAGCGCCAAGGAGATCATGACATGGGGCTCGTCCTCGTTTGGCTCACTGGTCATGGGAACAGACAAGCTGGGCAGCGATGGATAGGTTGATCGTGATGACACTCCCCAGTCATCCTGTCGTGGACTAGAAACGAGATGGTGCTGCTGATACGGTGATAGTGAGCGTCTAGATTCCGGAACAAGTCGACCAATTTCTATGCTTGGTGCTTTGTGGTTGGACGTCATCATGAAATGCACAGGCGTTGACCTGGATTCAAAATGTTTGCCATTGATAAGAACTGGCCTCGGATGCTTTAGACGTGCGAGAATCTCAGCATGTAGCATGGCAGCCGAGAACACCCTATGCCTCCATTCCTGAAGAACTTCGATCAAGGCATTGGTGAAAGAATATCGGCCGGGGTTTGGGGCAATGGCGTCCCAGCTCGAAGCGGAAATGGTTTCGGTAATACTTTGACCACTTGGGAAGGTAGCACTAGCTGCTCCTGCACAGCAGTCGAGAAGGATCAGGACATCGGATGGGGTTCTTTCGAGGAGTGTCTGAATAGCGGACCATCTATATGGCATAATGAGTAAGGTAAGCTCGCCCAAGAGAAATCATAGTCGATGGAAGATGGTGACTCACTGTAGCCATGGAGAGTTTGGATTTCGTGTCCTGATGGAAAGAGTAAGCATTAAAAGACCGTTCACGTAGGGTACTGTATATGAAGAGCACTTACGCGCACCACGCACTTTGACGCGAGTCATCAATCCGGGCATGGCCTCCATAGTAGACGACAAAAAGTGTCTTCTGGCCCTCGTGTTGTTTGATCATGTCGCCGATTTTGAGCATTAGCTCAAGATGGGAATTCTCAGTGGGGATGGCGAAGATGTCGGTATCATAACGGTAGTCTTCTCGAAAACACTTTTCCAGGTCCTCCAGTTCAGGAAGCACAAACAAGTCATCGCAGGCCCAGTGAAGAAACAGAGCTTGGACTTTTGAGTACCGTTGGTGGGAAGATGCAGTCGTGGGAAATGCTCGATTGGCCGACTGACGGGCAAAATCAGTTTGGGATTGGAGGCTAGACCAGGTAGTTGTATGGACATACATTTTCGAGAGCTTGAGCAAAAGTCTCAAGATGTCTGACATGGTAACTAACACGACTGACATCGTGAGTTGCTGGGTTACATGATTCGCTGGCTGACCCGTACTAAGTATGTTAGACCCTTTGTTTAGAAGCATTGGGCTGGTGTTTCCTGTGACAGTCCAACCAAAGAAACGAGCGTCAACATACGGCCGAGTCAGAATAACTCATAAAGTCATTTTCACTATGGCGCGGCTGCCGGGTACGAATAGGGATAAATGCTGGAGTCGAAGAGTCCATTTGAACAAAACGTAGAAAAATTAGGCTCTAAAGACCAGACTTGGACCCAAGGTCGAGACGCAAGGGTCTTGGACTGTCTCAATGGCCGATGGGTGGTTCGTGATATGGTGATGTGATGGTGTAAAGGTGACATTAAAGTCAAAGAGATCCGCTTGATGGCCTCAAAAGTAAACACAACATAAGGGGCCAAGAGGTGCCCTTTTTGGATGCTAATGGAAGTCTTGTCCATGTTAAAAGTCGTAGTGCGGCTGTGTTTGGGTTGAAGGAGGACAAGCATAGGTAGGACAGCCACTGATGGTGGCCGGGGGGTGACGGTCACAGTTTAGGTTTAGCCCAAGGTGATCTGGGGGCGGTGGGGCTTAGGTATTGAGGCTGCCCCAGACTGACCGAGCCATTATGGACCAATCGGAGCGTCTAGGTGTCCCAAACGGGATCGCTTCACGAAGAATTGAAGCACAGACCATGCAGGTGTTCCTCCAGGCGGGCGATGGCGGGCGGGGAGACGTGGACAGTGGAGCTGGACGGAGGAGCTGTTGACAGCTAGTGGAGGTTGTTGATGGCCCGCTATCGTCACCCAATTCCAGGTCTACTATCTTCAACAATCGTCACGACATCAACAACACCCAGACGCAGTTGCTACATCCACTGGCCCATCATGAGAGAGCGCATCACCTTTGTCCAGAAGCAGGGCAACTCGATCGAACCCACAACACTCAAGATCAAGAGCGGTGTCCTCAATGGCCCAGAGATCCAAGCTGCCCGTGAAGACAGACTCACCATTGCAGTCGATGAGCTACCAACAGACCTCCAAGCGCTCTTGGGCACAGCTCATGAGCTTCACATCCGATACGTCAGCTCTCAACCATATGAGGCCATCACCCCTTTGTTAGCTAGGCTGCCGCCTGGCTTCCATCTGTTCTACACCCCGGCAAGGGAAGCGGAGGCCACTTCCTCGGCACTTTGCCTTACCCTCAATAAGGTATTCGGAAATGTCCAATGTGAAACCCCACAGGTCAGTTTATTCCATTTCCCTTGCCTCGGAAAATAACGTTGGTGCTGACGTCTCTTATAGGAATCATTTACGACTCTGCCACGGGACCGTTTTACTCACTCAGCTGCCTATCAATACTACCAGCAGTCGGTAGACTTCTCCCCATTTATTGAATACGCCAAACAGAAGCTATGTTCATCTGTCAAAGATCAATCCTGCGCAATCAGAGTCGATTCCTTAGCAGAAGCAAGCACGCTGGACATCTCATATGATGCCATCTCCCATGCCGTCAAGCTGACTGCAGCATGGCCCTACCAGAAACGAGAGGTGCATGCGACATCCCGTCCACAGGCACGGACCGAGGTAGGAGTCTTGAACTCTGACCGTCCAGGACATCTCGAGCCTCACGAGGTGGGAATCTCGGGTCTTCTCACCGTGCTGGGACAAGATGAGAAGCCGTCGGCGACAATGTTTGCCTTTGCCTCTCGACATCGCGATGCCGAGTCGAGCTTCTCCGCCGAGCTTTTGGAGCCCACCGGTCTTCACCCTACCCTTCAACTCAAACTTGAGTCCAACAAACCACCTACTGAGGATGCCTACTGCTCACCACACGCCTACTTCACCCTTCCCAAGACCATCTTTGCCGACAGACATCAACTATCAGATGACCTCTTTCTGACTTCGAAGAATCTGACCGGCCTACGCTACATCTCTCAGCCCGTAGACCTTGAAGCGCCTGAATATGTCGAGAAGCGCTGGGGTTCTGCGCTTCTTCTGGAACTTTCCGCTCCTGAACATGAGAAATCAGAGTCTTGGACGGCACAAGTCCCCTTACATCTGCGTTACCTATCTCCCGCCGAAGGAGGCGATACCGACATTGAAGTTCCATACCCGGCTGTGTTCTGGGCCTGCGCCGCTGAGGAGGGCACCAAGTTCCCTAACAATCCGTTTGAGAAAGTCAACCTCGGCTACGACGGCCTATTCGGCCCAAGGACGGTCTTCTGGCATGTTGAGCCCCGCCCGGAAATTGGCAGCCAGCTGACCAACACCATCAAAGTGCCGGTCTTGGATACAGACAAGGCGGAGTGGGTAAGCGGCGGCACCGGGCTAGCAGTACTCCTTGGCTTTGCCTGGATTGTGTGGAAGTTGTTTGGTGTGCTTTCAAAGTCTGGGTACCAAAGCCAACCAGCTCAAGCTACGGAAGCTTCAAAGACCAAGAAGAAGCAGTAATGACCAAGAGTGGGATGAGGCGAACAGGCGACGGGCACAGGAGATAATGTAATATTCAAACCATTTAATGTAAGTCATGCTAGCAAATTCGAGGCTGACTGCAGTCAAACTACGCCCTGCTATTTTCGTTCTGGATCCCGCGCTGGACAAAGTGGGAGAACAGATTTGGTGGGTGACGTGTAAGCCGAGTGGCTTGTTCCAAGGTTCCTTTGCACCTCGTAACTGCCTTTTCACTTCTATGCTTTATGGAAAGTCAGATACACTAGATTCCTAGCGAGGCCTTCTCTACCATCAACCTCCAGAGCCTTCCTCTTTCCTTCACTCGTAATCCCCTTATCTGTCGGAATTTCCAGTCAATCATCACCTTTCTTTTGAAAAGTACTCAGATTGCACCGCAGAGGTGGTACTGCACTCTTTGGCTTCTTTCCACTTGTCAACACACACTAACACCCAAACACAAAATGGAACACCCCCACGCTGAATGAAGCCCTCTGCAGCCGAGAAGGACAGAACAGGGATCATGACAGAGAAGTATCTCTTCTACCCCACATTTGGCTGCTCTTCTATAGCTTCCAAGGCCAAAAAGACCAATGACGTCGTGTCCCTCTGTTCTCGGGAGGCGTCTACACCACCCTTACCCAGTGCGCGTGTGAACTACGTGTAGTGACCTCTGAATTATCTCACCCAAGTGGCTCAAGTCAGCTGTGGAATGCCAGCATATCTCTGTCAAAAATGGAAACTAATATCCAAGGATAACCGGAGCCTTCTCACCTAGTCTTACCCAATTAGCGAAGAGTCGTACGAATCCCGCCTTTGGGTTCCTGTTCACATGGCAGGAGTACCCGTAAAAGGCCCTTGGGGACCCCATTCTTGCCATGTAGTGAGCCAAGCTGGGAAAAGATCATCCAGGGACTTGCAGCTTGCTCTCTCGATCTCAACGTTGTTCTTCGTTCTGGGAAGTAGTTGCGTCCGATCATTTGGTGCCGAACATCCAGAACTGGAAGAACCTTACTTCGTATAAGTACAAGGTTCTTCCTCCCGGTCTCCTCATCGTTTCCTCAGCATATCAAAACAAGCTCGACTTTTTGGCTAGGTGCAAACTTCATCCTTAAGACGTTTTTGATTTTGCATTCAACCCCAATTCCTCTACAAAGACCGATTTGTCGTTTATCTTCAAGCAGCGGGAAAGCTTAGTGAACCTTCGCCGAACTCATCTCTTGGTTCCAGGTGCAGTTCAGTCACTACTCACATCTCAAGAGCGTAAAGATGGGCAGCAGTTCTTCGGATCGCAGACCAATCTTCGTGGCAACCCATCCTCGGGCTTGCTCTACGGCCTTCGAACGGGTATGTTCCCCCATTTCAAAGACGTGAGCAAGATCAGAGCAAAAAATCTAATCAAATGTCAACTACGTAGGTATTCATGACCCGCCCAGACGCCCTGACTTGCGTCCACGAACCCTTCGGCGATGCTTTCTACTACGGCCCCGAACGCATGAGCACGCGTTATGAGTATGACGAGGCCGCAAGAAAGAAGAGTGGGTATTCAGAGGTCAAGTACGGCGATGTCATGGGCAGGATTTTGAAGGAGATGTTTGAGAGCGACGTAAGTACACACCAAACCCTGTGTCTTTCTCTATTTCTCCTTATGGAACATCATTTACCCACAACCTGATTCATATCGTCTAACTACCACTTAACTCCTCAGACAACCCGCGTCTTCATCAAAGACATGGCCTATTACATCGTGCCTCCCAACGGCGACCGTCCCTTGACCCCGGCGCGTTCGCTCGATCGCCACCCCAACCTGGCAGGGGTCAACAACCCAACTATTATTCCCACCTCCCTTCTTCAGCTATTCCACTGGACATTCTTGATCCGCCACCCACGAAAGGCCATCCCGAGCTACTACCGCTGCACCATCCCACCGCTGAGCAAGAAGACGGGGTTCAACGAGTTCATGCCCAGTGAGGCCGGCTATCTAGAACTTCGCAGGCTCTTCGAATTCTTGCACGCTCAAGGAATCATTGTCGACAACGAAGCCGAGAACGAGGAGGAGCGCAAGGAAAAGATCAATACGTACCAGCAGATGAAGCAAATAAGTATCGACACATGGCAGGAGAATAACGAGACTGCGCTCAGCAAGCAGCTGGAAGACACAGCAGGTCCTGTGAATATCACAGTCATTGATGCGGATGACCTGCTTGACGACCCGGAGGGTACGTTGAGGGCCTACTGCGAGGCCATCGGCCTGGGCTTTGACCCCAAGATGCTCAAATGGGATGACGAGGAGAGCCAGAAGACGGCGAAGGAGGCGTTTGAGAAGTGGAACGGGTTTCATGACGATGCGATCGGGAGTACCGAGTTGAAGCCGCGGGAGCACAAGGCTGTAAGTCTTTTTGTTGTTCTTTTCGATTATCTCTGGATGCTGTGCGGGGTATCAATCAAGGTAACGCTAACATCAAACAGAAGACGCCGACCAAAGAGGAAGAGGACAAGGAATGGAGGGAGAAGTACGGAGAGGAGGGACAGAAGATAATCAGAGAAACGGTGGACAAGAATGTGGCCGATTATGAATATCTCAAACGGTTCGCTTTGAAGCCGAAGTCGGGGTAGATTTTGGGAGTGATTGAATTATAAGGACGCTGCTTGTATATCAATAACTGCAGAAGCAAGAGACATCCGAGACATGGTTTGAAAGACTTTGGATTGTCTCAAGAACATGATAATATAGAGATGAGACTGAAGAGAAATTGCTTTGTCAGTTCAAAGTTTGCAGGGCAGTGAAGAGAGCAACGGCCGACAAGAGACTCTGTGTGACTGGAGTGCAACGTAATCTCGTAATCAAACTTACGCATCCGTGCAAGTGCTTGAAGGCGACTGTCCCCCATTCGATGACGGGGACTTGGACGGTTGAGAGCGCGGAAGAAAAGGTGCTGTTGAAAATTCAGTTTCTCGGTTGGACGTGCCAATGTCTTCATCCATGAGCAACAGTAAAGCATCCCTCACTCCGGAATGGTACAGTATCATAGCCAAAGAGTCTTCGCCTAGGTGCGCAGCACGGGCGTGGATTCAAGGAAGTGTCCGCTACCGCCTAGGCACATCTTGCTGGCTTTTTGTCCCTCCGAGTTAGGCATCTTTGCCTGTTTTTGAGCCGATACTCCAAAGCCAACATGCAAACTACAACACGGCCGTACAACCGGGAGAATTAGCTTTTTCAGGATCAAGCTCAATAGGATCCATTCGCCAAATTGAACAGGGAAGTCGAAATGCAGGAGACGACATTGTTTACGGTACATGAGATGGAGCTCGGCCTGTGGGAGCTTCAGATGACAGGGATGCAGCCCGCTTTAGCTCCGGCAGGCAAAAGCCCACTGCCCCACATTTCCCGCGCATTCGAGGACCCGAATTGGTGGAAACGGGACCCAAAAAATGTTCTGAGCCCCGAGTCCCGTCCCGACCTCCGCGATCCGAGTCGACTGCTTGCTCCAGGCGTGCGCGCGAGCAGCCCCGTTCCGTTCCCGTCAGTCTCCAGATTCACCCCCGTCTCCGCGCCTGCCTGCCGCTTAGGTACCCGACCTCTATACCTAACCCCAACACCCACCTCGAACCGGGACCACCACCAACACCCGGCCGCCGCGACCTCGACGAAACGACCGATCGCCCAGCGCCCATCCCGTCCAAGGCCCCGGAGTCGTCGCTAACGTGGGCGCCGTGGTGCTACACTCTCCTTATACACCAACTCACATACACACACCAACACACACAACCACCATGAACTCGGTAACAACCTCGACAATAGGCCGCCTGGCCCTCGGTGCTTCGCGTCTCGGCGCCGTCACCAACGTTGCCGGCGCCGTGCGCCACGCCAGCACACACCCCACCACCGCGATCCCAAAACCGACCGCAGCCATCATCAAGACAAGTTCATTGGCGGAGGAGACGGCCGTCGAGCTCAAGAGCCCATCGAGGCTGCAGCTCAAGTCCGAGCCGGGAAACAAGGCCATGCCCAAGGGCCACGGCGATCGCATCTGGGCGTTCCATCACATTGAGCAGGGCCAGGTCATTTACTCGACCACGCCTGTTATTTCTGTACGCCGCCAGCAGTCACCCTCTTTTTTTTCTTATTCTTGCCTTTTTATCTACCAGTACAGTCTCAATTAGCTAACCATGTGCAATGCGCCGCGCAAAAAATAACAGCACCAACACCTCCTCCGCCAACAACCCTTCACGGGCAAGAACCTCGTCCCCCGCAAGATCCGCAAGGACTACTGGCGCCCGCTCGCCATGATCGAGATGGAGGCCAAGGACCAGGGCGCCGTCGGACGCTCCGTCTACCAAAAAGCTGCGCGAGTTCAAGAAGCGGCACGAGCTGGACTGGGCCAACGAGGCCGAGGAGGGCCGCAAGCTGATGCAAAAGTCCAAGCGCGAGCGCGGCGCCGAGCTCAACGACCAGAAGCCCAACAGCGTCGCCGACATGGCGGCCGTGCTGGCCGGCGCTGGCAAGGGTAACCTCATGTGGGAGGTTTCTCGCGTTTCTTCAACCAACTTGGGGACGGGCGAGATCAAGAGGGCCAGCGGGGCGGTGGAAAAGGGCGCTGTTGTCGACGTCAAGAGGCAGCTGAGGAGGGCGGTCGTGTACTGGGCCAACGAGCAGGATAAGTTCCATGCGCGGGAGTGGAGCGCTAATGTCAGCCATGAGGTTGGCATTCCTGGCGAGGCTGATAAGAAGAGGGTGCCTATTAGGATGAGCAGCGAGTGAGAAGCAGTAGGCGGTGGTGATGATCAGTCATGTAAGGGGATTCAGCTGAATGCCTGGGGTGAAAGAGCAAGAGGAGAAGGAGGAGTGAGAGTTGATTGAGGTGCTCACTCTCCGATCGGAAGGAAGAAGGCGATGTGAGGTTGTTGAGCCGCCAGACAGCGGGGGGTGGGTATGTGATGAGTGAGGACAACCAAACTGGGAATGGAAAGTTCTTGAACAGTTTCACGCCACTTCTTCTAGGCCATAAACCATCATACCCCGGGTGTACTATTGTAGCTGTATCATCATATGTATTGTTTGGGTAAAAACAGGTCAGTCGAGTCGGTTGGCCTCGCTGACTTGTGTTTGTATTCATAGTTCCTTGTAAAAATGAACATTTTGTGCAATGCCGTAGTGTTTAAGCTAAAGTGATGTGGTCATTAACTATCGCAGAAACCTCCGCTATGCTAATGGGTACTAGGTATGGTCTTTGTACCCTACGAGAAAAATGGGGATCACATGTCAACGAAGGAAGCAAATGTAATCATAGAACTTTGAATGCATTGGTATCACTACACTAAATCCTTTTAACTTCCGTATCTTAGCCTCCGCCATTCATAAGCGCATGACTACATCCCGAGATCATGACGCCTTTCGTTCCCATGTAAAGTAGTTAAAATATACAGCCCCAAACTCCAATGCAATGTGCATGCTATAAACGGTGAAGGCTATATGCATCTTCAAACTCTTCAACCAGTCATGCCAGATTCGTTTCCCCTTCCGCACTCGGGGCGTTCACAATCAACCTCATTAATCCTCCTAGTCCACGTCCACATTGTCGGGCATCTCTTTGTCAAGGATGTCTTTCTTAGACTTCTAGTCATCGTAAAGATCCTCGTCCATCGAGTCCGGCGCAACCTCCTCGAGTGCGTCATCCTCATCCAACTCCATATCCTCATCCTCATCGTAAGAATCACGATGGTTGGAGAGGACGGTAACTTTGCCATCGTCAAGGACAACCCGGGCAGTCTCGCCGTCGCGGATGTTGCCACGGAGGATCAAAACAGCCATGCGGTTCAGAACCTCCTTCTCAAGCAGACGCTGCAGTGGTCTAGCGCCATAAGCCGGCGAGTAACCAGCAGCACCGAGCTTGTCTTTGGCTTCTTCCGACACCTTGATGGTAACATTGCGATCGTTGTCGGTGAGCCGCTTCTGGATTTCTGAAATGCGTAGATCGACAATCTTGCGGATTTCGCGGCGAGTGAGACGGTTGAAGATAACAATCGAGTTGATACGGTTGAGGAACTCGGGAAGGAAGTAGTTGCGCAGGGCGTTCATCACGAGCTCGCGAGTGGTGGGATCAATCTTGCCATCCTTGGCGTTGGGACGAGCGAGGAACTCAGCACCCAAGTTGGAGGTCATGACGACAATGCAGTTCCTGGCGTCAATAACTCTGCCTTGGCCATCCGTGATACGGCCGTCATCCATGAGCTGCAACAGAACGGTCAAGACCTCCTTGGCTGCCTTCTCAACCTCGTCGAAAAGGAGGATTGAGAATGGCTTGCGGCGAAGGGCCTCAGTCAGCTGGCCACCAGAGTCATGACCAACGTAGCCGGGAGGAGCACCGATCATACGGCTGAGAGAGTGGCGCTCCTGATATTCAGACATATCAAAACGGATCATTGCCTTGGGGTCATCAAACAGGAACTCGGCAAGAGCCTTGGTGAGCAAAGTCTTACCGGTACCCGAAGGACCGCAGAATAGGAAGCTGGGAGGCTGGTTGGGGTTGGAGAGACCAGATCGCTGCAATCTGATAGCGTTGGACACGGACTGAACGGCCTCCTTCTGACCGACAACGATCTTGCCGAGAGCCTTCTCCATGTGCAACAGCTTCTCCTTCTCGGTGGTCTTGAGGCGTGTGACGGGAATACCGGTCCACCGGGCGACAATCTCGTTGATCTGATCCGGCCCGACAATGTCAGTGATCATAGAACCACCAGTGTCGGCCGCATTGGCATTGAGGGCAGCGTCAGCCGCAGCCTTCTCTTTCTCGAGCTTCTTGATAACGTTCTCTTGCTCGGGGATCGCGTAGTACTGAAGGTCCGCAGCACGGCTGTGATCTCCCATTCTGCTAGCGTCTTCGGCCTTGACTCTCAAGCTTTCAAGCTTTAGCTTTGCTTCCTGAATGTCCTTGCCTCTCTGCCTCTCTCTTTCGTACTTCTCGCGGAGGGGTCTGAGCTCCTCCTCCACGTTCTCGGCATCTTGCTTGGCCTGTGCGAGACGAGTCTTGGAAGCCTCATCCTTCTCACGAGACAAGGCGTGGATCTCAATCTTGAGCTGGCGCAACTTGCGCTCCATGGAATCGATGATCTCGGGCTGCGACTCTCGGGCGACTCTGACTGCGGCAGCCGCCTCATCGATTAGATCGACTGCCGAATCAGGAAGCCTGCGAGAAGTGAGGTAACGGGCCGCAAGAGTTGCCGCGGCCACAATGGCAGCATCGGCAATGTTGACACCATGGTGCACCTCGTACTTCTCCTTGAGACCACGGAGAATGGAGACAGTCTCAGGGATAGAGGGCTCTTTGACAAGGACCTGCTGGAAACGACGCTCGAAAGCGGCATCCTTCTCGATATACTTGCGATACTCGGCCAGAGTGGTAGCGCCGATACAGTGAAGCTGACCACGGGCGAGCATTGGCTTCAACAGGTTGGCCGCATCCATGCCGCCTTCTCCGGACGAACCAGCGCCCATGAGCAAGTGGATTTCATCGACGAAAAGGACGATCATGTCCTTGGACTCTTGGATTTCCTTGAGAACCCCCTTCATGCGCTCTTCGAACTCACCCCTGTACTTGCTGCCGGCCACCAGGGCACCAACATCAAGAGACAGAAGCTTGCAAGCGGCCAAGTTGTCGGGTACATCAGCATTGACGATGCGCTGAGCGAGACCCTCAACGACGGTAGTCTTACCGACACCGGGCTCACCGATGAGGACAGGGTTATTCTTGGTACGGCGAGAAAGGATACGGATGACTCTCCGAATCTCCTCCTCACGACCAATGACAGGGTCGATCTTGCCTTCCCTGGCCATGGCGGTCATATCAATGGTGAACTTGGCGAGGTTCTCGTTCTCCTCTTCGGTGTCGGCATTGCGAGAGTCGACGCGCTTGGTGCCACGGATGGCCTGGATAGCATCGGTAACGAGCTTTGTCTTGGGAATGTTAGCCTCCTTGAGCGCATTCGTGATTGCGGGCTCCTCGGCCAGGGCTGTAATAAGATGATCGACGGCGATGTATGTGTCTTTTTGCGTCTTCTGCAGCTCGTTGGCCTTGCGAAGGACTGTGTGGAAGGAAGGGGCCATCGAGACATGCTCAGGAGGAGGATCTTGACTGGGGAGGCGGACGAGTGACTTCTTGAGGGCGCGGTCGAACAGCTGAGGATCGCCATGGGCTCTCTCAATGACTTGGCGGAAGAGAGTGCTGGATGTGCCGGGCGTGGCATTCTGCTGGTCTTTGCTCGGATCTGGGAGAGGGTCGAGAAGGGAGACTGCCAGATGAACCGGGAGGAGTTGTGAGTGGGCGTATTGCTCTGCCAGGGCCATGGCATCCTCCAAAGCCTTCTTGGCCCGGTCTGTAAATTCCATTTTCGAAGTCATGGTTGATTATACTGTGGGAAACTCTGTTGGTCTCGGAGTTGTTTGTGTGGTGCTGTGCTTCGAGTTGGATGTGACTGTGTGTGTGTGATATGTATGTGCGTTGTTGATATAGAAAAAAGAAAAATCGCGGTGATGTTAAGATGAAGCTAGTGTGACGTAAGGCTTCAACCTTGAAAAAGAAAGCTGCTTGCAGCTAGAAGAAAAGGTGTTTGGGGTATCTCTTGTGCACTTTCGTGAAGATGTTTAGATGTGGGAGAGACAAAGAATTGGTTGACGGGGGGAGAGGTTCAGAGGAAGAGGAATTTATTTGCGAGCCTTGGTGGAGAGAGAAGTTGCGAGTTGATGCCCGAGCTGGCTGTGCAAGAGCAACAAGTGGGATGATTAGCTGCTTCTCGATGCCCCTCGCAGCCTGTCGCCTGTGCGGGCGCATACGGGAAGCGAGGAGACGGCCTCCGAGAAACGACGACATCATACCCGGCCAAGACCAGCAGTGACAAGCAGCCACCTGCAGGCTCCAGAAGCAACCCGAACCTTCAGCGGTCTTCCTGTCACCGTACTGGTTGTCGTTCGGGGCTGAGGGGTATAAAGTGGGTACCTCTAGGGCGGGGCATAAGCTTTCTGGTGGGGCATCGGCCAACGATATCTCCATTCATCTCAAGACCTTGGCTTCCATCTGACCCTACCAACCACGCCAATGTACCTGCATCGATCCAACAAGCTCATCATCAACAACCTTTCAAGACAGCGGGCCAACAAGGGAGGACTGGTAAGACCCAAGAAGCTGGGCTTTCACTGCCATACTGCTCTCTTCAGCCCTCCACTGTAACCTTTCTTCTATTGATGTTCTTCGTTTATGCTACCTCTTAGTGCACAAACATCAGAGATCATCTCGTGGCTCTTTTGCCCTTGCGTGGTCCGAATCACAGCAGACGACCAACATGCACGTTCTCTTCAGGTTGGACGAACCGCATTGTCGGGATCTTCACCCTCCAGCATCTGTCGTTGATGCGAATCATATCTTCCAGTGACTTCCCTATCTACAGGTTTGGCCATGACGGCACATTGAGGTATTCGGTTTCATTTGTTTCCATTGGGAATATGGAAAGCTTCTTGCGCATCCCGTTCTTCCGCTTTCTATGACGAGAAAGTCATGATGTTGCGGATCGCAGTGGGTTGGGTATCATGAGATTCTTCCGACCAGTCCGACGTGAGCCAGCTTGGTTGGTCCCACTCCACACCTACACGCTATTCACGGAACAGTGACATCGATTCGTTAGTGTCTGGGGCGGTGGTGATAATCGTGTTAGATGATAACGCTTCACTTAGTATGAGCTTTGTGAATTTGGTCACATTCCATGTTACGGTGCTCCCATTCATCGTTTGCCACTATTCGAGAAGGACATCCGCGGTTTAGAAACGGTGAGATACATAACCTCATTTGGTTAATAGGGCGTGAATCACAATGGACCATCTTCTAACTAAATACAAACACAACTTTTTGACCTCGACCAAGACCTCTTCTAACCCTGCTTGTGTCCGGATCGGTGTCTGATGGCGGTTGTTGTTGAGGCTCCTTAACATGCCATTTGAAATCAAGTCGAGCCCTAACCCTTAAATACCCCTGACCAAAATAAACATCGCAGTACAGCATGATCTGTTCTGGCGCTCGCTCCAGAGACTGAGGAGATGGAGGCAACAGTTTCTTTGATACAATACGAATACAACCATGTGCGGCCTACTTGAGAAAACAAGAAGATCAAAATAACATCCTCCTGAGTGGTTCCGTTACTGGGAGCAAGGCAGCCGTTCATCTCTTTCTCGACTAGAAACACAAGCCTCAACCTACACGATATGGTTATCCTTTATTTGTCCAACAACTTTCGTTACCATAAAAACCCGGCTCTAGTTGTCCTCGAAGTGATCATATAAGGTACTGATGATAGGAATCTGGATCGGCGGGGGGACGGTGAGGCCGGCCGGGCAGGAACAGAAACGTTGAGGATCAAAGAGTGAATACTGAATGTTGCCCTGAGAGGTATTGAGTTTGCGAGCGTCTCCGATCACCATGTACATGCGCGGCATGTTGTCACTGATGCCGGGCTTGTGAAAGTCACTGCCAGGCTGCCGGGGCACGTCGGGGTTGTGCACGACGAACGTAGTCAGAGAATGTACAAGTATGAGCGGGTAAAAGTGGAACTCGGCAAGTTAGCTTCGAGCATCCACTGAAGCCATTGCATCCAAAGTGGGGGATTAAAGGGCTTGGCGTCCCCCGCATATCGTAAGAGTGGGTCTCCTTGATAAAAAAAGTTCTGGCAGAGGACGCGGGCGAACGTCCATCGGTCGCGGCCGTCAGAGCTTGGAGATTCCTATCGCATTGCATCACCAACTCCATCAATCCACAACACAACCGACAAGATGCGCCCTCTTACAGAAACCGAGCAGAAGACTGTCTTTGAGAAGGTCAGTCCCAGTGTCAAAACAAACTCAATCATTACAAGGAAGAACATTGGCTGACTGATCGCACTGGTATCATACAGCTTGCAAACTACTGCACCGATCTCAAGAGCCTTATCGCTCCCCTCGACGATGGCGACAGATATGTTTTCCGTCTGAACCACTCTCGTGTATGTTCCACCTCGGTCGTCAACCTCTCGATCTCATTCGATATTCCCTCTTAGCCTCTGGCCGTGTACCGTCGAGGACAACGACAACGATAGCGACGGCAACGTCAACAACTACATTACCAACTAGAATAAGGACCAGGTAGACTGACAAAGACGATACTCAACAGGTCTACTACGTCCGTCTCTCCGTTGCCAACCTCGCCACGAGTGTCAGCCGCGATGCCCTCCTCAGCTTGGGCACCTGCCTTGGCAAGATGACCAAGACCGGAAAGTTCAGACTTCACATCACTGCCCGTACGTTCTAGACCTCTCTACCGAATCCCTCTGCCTCTTGTGGGTCAGTTTAAGCATATCTCGAAGCTAACAACCATCACCAACCTTTACAGTCCCTATCCTCTCCGAGCACGCCCGTCACAAGATCTGGGTCAAGGACAACGGTGCCCAGCCCTTCCTCTACGGCTCCAACGGTATGCCACTTTACCTCCTGGTTTTCTGTCCTACAAGCTTCAATACTGACGGATTTTGAAAACAGTCGTCAAGGCCCACGTCGGCCGTTGGTCCGAGGACTGTCCCGAGCACTCCGGTGTCGTCGTCTACAGCATGGCCGATATCCCCCTCGGTTTCGGTGTCACAGCCCGCAGCACAACCGAGGCGCGCCGTCTGGATCCCACGGGTATCGTTTGCTTCCGTCAATCGGATTGCGGCGAGTACCTCCGTGATGAGGACACTCTTTTCGCTGGTTAAAGTGTTTTGCTCCGGTCCGAGTGAGAAGAAGAGTGGCAGGAAACGAAACGAATCGGTTGGAAAAAGAGAAGGGCATACGAAAGGTTTTGTTTTTCAAGGAGGTACCATAAAGGCGTCCTGGCGTTTGCAACACACATAATACACTTTTGGTCAGAATCAGAGATACCTCTAGCAATTCTTATCTGGGTAGAGATAATTTGGCAAAAAAGGGCGGTTAGGAAATGTCTGCATACGTCAATGCTTCCGGAGCTTATAGACCCGGCTTATGAAGCCATATTTCGTCTAATATCAAACCTACACAGAAAACGTCAAATCGGTTCCGTACAGTCCTTTGTAACATCCGAATTCCAGTATCAATCCCCGTCTATGTTTTGCTCTAGTTTAACCTTGGCCTCCTCTACCACACCACTCCCTCCCTACATCCTTCACGCCCGATGACCCCCAACAGGACTAGCCGGCCTACTAACCGCATTATAAAAGCTCACGCTCTCCCTCTGCGCCACATACTCGCTGTCAGCGTACCCAAGCAACTGCCCAATTTCCGCGCTCTGGTGTCCCTTGATCCGCGCAATTTCCGCGCTCGAATAGTTAGTCAGGCACCGGCCCACCTCAACCGCCTCGCCCTCCCACATCTTGCCGTCGGCACCGGGCGTAGAGCGGCGCTTATCAACAACGCACAGACGCACGGCTTCTTGCTGAGCAAAGAAACCCTCGACGTCGACCACGCCGACGGGCAGAAGGCCGGCTTTGCCGAGCAAAGCCTTGTAAGCGCCCTGGTCGATGTACAGAGTGCCGTGAGGGCGCAGGCCGTGCAGGATCCAGAAGTAGCGGTCGCGGACGGGCGAGGCCGAGGGGAGGAAGCGCGTGTGCAGGGGGATTTGGCTGCGGTCGTTGGCGGCAGCTGGGGCTTGCTCGGAGCTGGGGGTGGCGGCCGCCGCGGCACCTGGGGTGGAGGTGCCGGAGCCGGAACCATTGTTGAGGGAGGCGAGAGAGGCCGTGGAGGGGTGGTTGACTTGGGTAGTCAGGGAGGCAGGGGAACGGCTGCCTTGGATGTGCTTGACGATCTTGTGAATGTTGCCCGGGTTGGAGGAGCGGGTGATCACGGTGGTGACGCCGGCGGAGGTGGCGAGGCGGGCGGCTACGATCTTGGTGGACATGCCGCCTGTGCCGAGGGATGAGCCGGCTTGGGAGACTGGGGGAGGTGAAAGCACAAATCAGGATATTGTTTGAGACTTTGGGCTAAGGGGGACAAAAAGGGGTCACTTACCATCGGCAACAAGGGCACCGATATCTTCGACAACCTCAATCGGTTGGGCGTCAGGGTTGGTTCTGGGGTTCTTGTCATAAAGACAGTCGACGTCGGTCATGAGGAAGAGGAGATCGGCGTGGACCATGGCGGCGGTGATGGCTGACAGAGTGTCGTTGTCACCGAACTTGATTTCGGATACGGCCAGCGTATCGTTCTCGTTGACGATGGGGATCACGCCCATATCGAGCAGCTCATGCATAGTGTTCTGCGCATTGAGGTATCGTGACCGCTGGAGGGAAGTAGGTCAGTGAGAATCCCATTGTAAGGTGTGTGATCCTCACTCACATCAGAAATGTCGCTTCTGGTAAGCAAGATCTGGGCGATAGGCTGTCTGAGATGGTTGAACAAGCTGTCCCATAGACTCATTAGGCGGCACTGCCCGATAGCTGCCAAGGCCTGTCATGTCATGATGTAAGTCAACTACCGTATCCTTCTTGTTGAGGAATTAGGAGGACTTACCTGCAACTTGGAGATATGTTTTGGTCTCCTCTCAACGTCCATTCTCTGGAGACCAACGCCAATGGCGCCAGACGACACAATAATCACCTTATGACCATCTTTTCGTAGCTTGACCGCCGTCTCGACTATAAGGGTGAGGTTGGATAGAAGGGGTTCATGTGTCTTTTCGTCCACAATGGAACTGGTTCCTGGGGTAGTGCATGTTAGCCCATGAGCAGCAATGGCATGTAAGAGCCCGCATTGTTATTATTGTATGTGCCGTATCGCATCAACTTAAAGCAGTTCTTCATAATGTTTTGAGGGAAAACAAAAATAAGGGGGTTTCCGCTCACCGAGTTTGATCACGACTCCAAGAGAACGAGGACCCCTCATGGCTGTAGGGAAAAGAAGATATTAACACACGCTCTAACACAATTACACCAAAGCCGTGGACTGAGATCGAATTTCATACAACACGCAGAAGACAATCCCGGGGATGGGTGAGTGAGATAAGAAAAGGGAGTGTTGTTCTGCACTTACACACATGGTGATGTTGATGATGGTGTTGCGTCTCGGTCTCCATCTTATAAAAATCCAAACTGTGGTTTGCCTGTACGCGTGTGTAATTTCACTCAACCCAAGCTTGACCGGTCAACAGCAACAGTTTCTCGATTTGGAATCGGTCCCTTCAAGGTGCTTTCGTCGGATACGGGCATGCTTCGGGGGACTGCTTCTGGGGAACTGGAGTCGCAAGTGGGTTCCATGACTTTGAGAAAGTGGACCGAGTCATTGTTGGCCGGGCATTGGCCGACATCGGGGCAGGGTCCCGGGCCAAAAGAACGCGAGGAAGGTTACAGGGCATTTTCAGCGCCCTTCAGCGCCCTTCAGGGACAGACCACCCGAGGCTTACCGGCTTTGTTGTCTCCGACAGGGCGTGAGATGCGGCTCTTGCGCGCCTCCCGATGGAACTTGTCTCCACGTGTGACGGCATCCACATGCAGCCTGGCGTTTCTCCACTGTAAATTTAGGTCAGACTTCCATTTACAATTCCCGTCATTGTTGTGAGCAATCCGATCCTCCCCGTCAAGGTGCCCATCTCATCTCAAACACGACCCCGATCCGATTGCAGATCAACGATTGGGACCCCCACCTTTGACGATACTTCCAACTCAGCCTTTCCTCGATCCCGTCCCCGACGACAGTCTTTTCCCAAGCCAACGGACTATCCGGACAGACGGCGCATACAACAACCAAAATGTCACCAGCGCCCACCACCAGCGCCGGCGCCTCCTCCTCGGGCATCCCTCCCTCCTCCCTCCCCACATCGACCGTCACCGAGAACGACACAAAACCCTCTTCCTCTTCCAGCTCAAAAGCCAGCGACCTCCTTCCGCGCTACCTCAGCAACGACCCCTCGCGCACGGGCTACGACCCCTCCATCCAATGGTGGATGAACTACTTCAAGATCCTCACGGGCCAGATCACCCCCGAGGGCATCGAGCACTACCGCGAAGACCGGTACAAAGCCAACGAGGCACGCGACTGCGCGCGGTGCGAGGCCGACCGCGACTGGCTGTTCCAGAATTCGCCCGTGGTGCGGTTCCTGCGGGAGAAGGTGGCCAACCTGAACGGCGTGCTTGACGAGACCAATGTCGTGTGTCGCCGGTGTCCGAGCCGGATCGTGGTGATTCCGGGAAATAAGGAGAAGGGCGAGGAGGATAGGATAGAGGTTGCCAGACAGGGTGGTGGTTTCAGTCCTGATCATGGTATTCTGCTGTGCGCGAATGAGATGCGGAATCGTGGACATTTGGAGGATACGCTGGCGCATGAGATGGTGCATGCTTGGGATCATTTGAGGTGGAAGGTAGATTGGTTTGGGGAGAAGAGTTTGAGGCATGCCGCTTGTACTGAGGTGAATGCCTTCTGTCCCCTTTTCCCATCCGTCTGTTTTGTTTCGGGCTGTAAGGACAGTTGCTAACCATTGGGATCTTATGAACAGATCCGAGCATCGATGCTTAGCGGCGAGTGCAGATGGACACGCGAGTCTATCGTCAGAGGCAACTGGACGCTTACCCAGCAATTTCAGAACTGCGTACGTATGCGGGCCATCCAGTCGGTAATGGCACGGCCGACGTGCAACAACGACGTACATGCGACAAAGGTGGTCAACGAGGTGTGGGACTCGTGCTTTGCGGATAAGAGGCCGTTTGAGGAGATCTATAGGTGATCTCGAGGCTGTATCGCGGATGAAGGAGCGTTTTATACCATGTAGTGCTGCTGCTACTGCTTGATGAACAAATCTCGAATTGTACAATAATGATACCACTTCCACTTGAATGTTCGGATTCAAGCCTATTGCGCTAATGTCGACATTGGTCAAACTTCTGATACTTGACTACAGTCGATGTCCAGTCCGTTACTCGCTAGATGCCGGAACCTAGGTAGGTATATGCACAGGTAAACAACTCATGAGCCTCTTCCCCTTGATGACACGGGGAGTTTGATCCCAAACCTCTTCCTCTCGCTCAAACGCCTAAGAACGCCAATGATACCATATGAAAACAAATAGGCTGACAATGCAAGTAGGCTCCACGCTTCCGCAGTGCTCGAAGAATGTTCGAAATATGTCGGACAAAGCAAAGGCAAAACTTGGGAAACAACCCTCAGTTGCCCATTTTGCTCGCCATCTTCTCCCGGTTTGCGGCCCTTTCTCCCTTGACGCAATGCTTCAAGATCCAAGGGTGGTTCTCAACTTCCTCTAAGGGAAGACGCTTCTCAGGGTCAAGTACCAACAACTAAACACAGGGTTAGTCAACGGCAAACAAGCATATCCGTGGAGGATAACGGCTGCTCACCTTCTTAATCAAATCCTTCGCCTCCTTGCTCACCCACTCCGGAATCGTCATATCCGCTCTAGCAATCCTTTTCTGCGTCATAATCGGCGTATCCTCAAACGGCGCCTCGCCGACCAGAAACTCATACGTCAACACGCCCAAACTCCACAAGTCCACCTTCTCGTTGTACCAGTTATCCTTGGATCCGCTCCGGATCATCTCTGGCGGCAGGTAATCCAGCGTTCCGCAGAGCGTTTGTCTCCGGTTGTTGGGCGCGTGCACGCTCCATCCAAAATCCGAGATCTTGATCTCCCCGTGAATGCCCACCAGGATGTTCTCCGGCTTGATATCGCGGTGGATGACATGCTTGCGGTGCAGGTATTTGAGCGCCGAGGCCATTTGCGCAACATACTGCGCCGCCTTCCACTCGGGGAACCGGTTTTCCTTGCGCAGGTGCTTGTACAGTTCACCCTTGCCGGCGTACTCGAGAATCAGAAAGATGCGCTTGCTGTCGTGGAAGTGTCCGTACAACTTCAGGATGTTGGGGTGTCGTAGGTTCGACTGGATTTCAATCTCGCGACGCACTTGCTTCTCGACTCCAGTGCCGTGTTGTAGTTCCGACTTGTAGAGTACCTTCAGGGCACAAATGAAACCAGAGCTTCGCTCACGCGCGAGGTATACGCGGCCGAATTTGCCTTTGCCAAGTGGTCGACCGATCTCAAACATGCCGAGATGGAACTGCTTGGGGGATATCGATTGGTCGTAACCGGCATTGGAAGAGGATTCTGATGTGGATGTCATTGTTGAAGAAACGCTAGCGGAAGCCATTGGCTGAGAGAGTTCATCGTGATCATCGTCGTCGACTCTGCGGATGCCGGCGTATGTCGTGGACTTGTGAGAAGCAACGGTCGAGGATTTCGTCGCAACGGGAACGGTTCTCTGGGATTTCGTGGTGAGAAAGGTTCGCTACAGACGACAATCGGATTCTTCTTTTGCGCGGCTTGCGAAGGAACGAAGATGGAAGTGCTTACTACGGTGTTTCCGCTTTGTGACTGGAGGGCTACTTTGAAGAGATTCGGCCTGCCGGGGGCGCCCGTATGTGGTAATTGACTGGGACCTGCCTACAAGGCGCATTTCAGTTAGACAAGTCATTGAATACATTGACGTATAGATCGATCATGCCTTCGACTTGAGCTGCTCTCTCGCCTTTTGTTGAAGTCGAGCACTATCGCTTGGATCGTTGTTTTCGTCATGTATCGACATGCGGCCGAAGCGAGACTCCATCGGCTGGCCCGCCATCTTGGGCGCGACGATTTCTGGGGTCGCGAACGAGAAACGGTTGACTGGATGACTAGGTGGTATGTTGCATAGAGGATGAAAGGATGACGGGTGGGCGCAAAAGCGATAGACTTAATTCCTAGGGCGTCGTGTTGAAAGCGCAGACCAGTTCAGTATTTGTTGGTTGAAGTTGGTTGTCAAGGTTGGTTGCACACAAGGCCAACGAAGTTGATGCTGATTGGAGTTGAGACGCTTCCCCAGATGGTGTGCCAGGATTGGGGTTTATTTACCGGGACCCATAATTCCGTTGCCTAGCAACAGTCCTGTCACTGTTTGCTGCGCTTTACTTCCCCCCTGGGGCCCCTTGAACAAACAACTGAGACCAGCAATGATGGGAAGGTGGACTTGAGCTCAACAGAGTTCACAGGATCAAAGGAAGAAGGGCGCTTGAACATGGCGGCCTGGAAGGCTGGATACTGAAGCTTTTATTTGTCCAACTCTTTTTTCTCGGATCTAGCAGAAGCACATTTAAGGCAGGTGTGATCAGTCGCAGCGACCAACCTGACACTCAAGAGAAGCAATGCTCCAAGCCCTGCTGCCCCTGCAGGTGCGCGCTAACCCCGGGGCTGAACGGGGCGGGCCCCGCTAAAACCCCGCCAGATCTCCAAGCTCCAAGCCTCTGACACTGACAGTCCCCAGTTTCATCTCTGAGACGGATAGAAAACACAGAGGTACATCTCCGCCTTCTTCACCCCATCAACTGCTGGGAATCGTACCAAGCTCGACGTTTGTCCTCCCCGTATATCGCCACAAGTACGGCATCAACTAGGTATTAGATACCTTGAACGGCCCTCGACCTCTCCTCTCCCGTACATACCTTAGCAATCATATCAAGTTCCGCTCGAAGCACCGACCGAATCCCTCACCCGACGACGACGACGACGACGACGACGACGACGACGACGACGCCGCTCACCATGACATCTGTCAAAATCAACCACATATCCTCGCTCAACGAGCCATACCCCTCTCCCTCGGCACTCGATGCCGCCACAACGACACACGTCCAAGGCACATTCGCCATCGCCACGCGCAAGCTGCCTATCCTCAAGTCCGGCCCCATCGACGCCATGTCGGCGCGGCTGGGGATCCCGATTCCCGAGATGATCTTCGGCGACAACCTCGTGTCCATAACACACCGACCGACGGGCTGGTCTATCCAGTTCAACGCCGAGGACGCGCTCGACCGCGTGGACAAGACGGGCGAGAAGATGTTGCGGGTGGCGTACGCGGGCGAGTGGAGCTCCTCGCGGGAAAAGACGAGCGCGGGCATCAGCGAGGTGGTCAAGCCGTTTGACTGGAGCTACACGACGGATTACTGCGGGACGGAGAGGCCCGGTTCGACCGGAGGGGCAGGAGCTGGAGGCTCTGAAGGGGAGCAGGAAAAGAAATTGCACGGGGACGAGAACACGCCGGATATACCCATCGAGCTGCTGAAACGCCGGGATCCAATCCTTTTTGCGGACGAGGTGGTTCTCTACGAGAGCGAGCTGGACGACAACGGGTGTAGTATCGTCAGTGTGAAGCTGCGGGTGATGGAGCACCGCATGTTGCTGCTGTGCCGGATGTTCATGCGATTGGACAACGTGCTGGTGCGGGTGCGGGATACGAGGGTGTATGTGGACTTTGATAAGGAAGAGGTGATTAGGGAGTATACGGAGAGGGAGGATATGTTTGAGAATGTGAAGACGGTAAGTCACAGTCAGAGAAATGAGACGGGATTACCATGGGATAGGTTACTGACTTGGTTACTTTGCGGAGCAGAAACTCTTCATGCAAGGCCTCAAACTGGATCAGGTCACTATCGTGCTTCGTGATGCCAACCAGGTGGCACCTCTGCTGCCGCTTATCAAGCAGGGAGTTGAGAGCGTTATCCTAGGTCCTGGGATCTCTGCGAAGACGATAACATCACGTTTCCCAGGGCAAACGCAGTTCCCGCCACAGACTCAGTTTGTCCGTCCGCCGCCAAGGTAGGAGTTGAGGAGCGGGTTTCGGTGATGTGTTTAGAGCGTTACAGACGAGATCATTCGGGTTAAAGACTTTAATTTGAACGAGGAAACGGCGTTACTGGCGTTGGAATGGAGAACTGGGTAGGTAGATACATAATCGGGGCACTTTGTTAAAATACCTATTGGAAAGCCACGCCGGGAATACCATAAGAGGATTCGTGACAAAGTACTATTCCTTTGACAAAACGTGCAATTCAAGACAACTTACCCATGACAGCGTGTTATGTCGATAACGAGCGGGCATTGATTCTCCGCAAAAATGAGAGGGTTCAAAAGTGTAGAAAAGTCAAAAAATGGGGGTTGTCCGATAGTGCCCGAAGACAGATTCGAACGCCATTGCTTCTAGGTAAGAGGGCAGGTACAGGAAGTGGCGCGCTTCACCTCTACCCCCTACGCTGTCTTATCCCATGGCTGTGTTGAAGATACGTCCCAGATACCGACCTTAAGTATTGGGTAACTTGAGTAGGAAGTATCAGACTTTCTCGGTCTCGGCCGCGTATATAATTTATTTGCCCACGGCAGGAGCCTTGAGCTGGGGGCCGGCCCATAATTCCCGTCTACCTTCACTTCCCTTGCGATCAAAGTTCAACTCATTCACCCAAGTCTCAATCCTCCAAAGCTCCGTCGGCAAGACCTAATGTAGACAAAACACTCCATTCTTTCGGCCAATTGGTATACAGAACGCTAATAAACCAGACAAATCCATCAGTCTTTCATATAACAAATAAGGACAATATCCACAAAGAGTAATTGCATGTAAAGTCATTTCGCATCACCCAACCCCTGAGCCCAACTGATCCAACATCCTCATGAGCATCACCTAGCATCCGCAACAGGCGAACTCGGCTGCGTAACCTCCTCAAACGACAGTTCCCACTTATCCACCTCCTTGAACTTCTTGGCCGCTTTCTGCAGCTCTTCACCCAGTCTCTCCGTCATCATCTGCGTCGTTTCCGGCAGCTCCTCAGCCTCGTCAAGGTCCATTGCGGAAACCGGTTCCTGTTCATCATTATCATCCTCACCATCCTCCTTGTTAACCCCGTTGCCACCAACAACAATGCCATCAGCGTTTTCCTTGTCAGAGCTCCCGGTCGCTCTGCCGTACGTCCGCTTTGGCTCTGAAGAGCCTGATTTGCTGGATTTCCCGGCGGCGGCTTTGCCGTTGCTTGTCGTACCAAACGGAGGCTTATTCTTTTTCTGCTTCCCCTTTTCCTTCTCCTTCTGATTCAGCTTCTCGGCAGCGAGCGCCTTCTCCTTCCTTTTCTTGGCGGCAGCAGTGGTGACGTAGGATAGTTCGTCACCGTCTGCGGTTGTTTCGTCTTCTTCAGAGGAGGACAATGAGTCCTCGTCGCTACTAAGGTCGTAAGGATCCTCCTTGTTCTTTCCCTTCTTGTGCTTTTTGTCGTGTTTTGTGTGGTTTCGTCGGGCGGGCAGCAAGCTTGTTAGAGTCTCCGTTGCTAGCTTCTGTTCTTCTCGCTTCTTCGCGGCTCCGGCGGCCTGTTTTGTTGCTGCGGCTGCAGCTGCGGCTGCTGAGGCTTTAGCGATATTCGGGGATGTGTAGTTTGGTGAGTGTGTAAGTGATGGTGGTGATGAAAGCTCGGAGGACATGTCTGCGTCCAGGGCTCCTGCCACTGGCCCGGCGCCCAGGCCTGGTAGTAACTCGGGAGTCTGAAGTCGTTCCGTGTAAACAGGTGCTGCTCGCCGGGTGTTGTAAGACCTGTGCGTTAGGTTGTTGAGTGATGGCCAAGCCACCGGGCTTCCAGCTTCCTGACGAATCGCTTGCGGGTGGCGCATTCACCGGGTCGTTAGGGTCGAGGGGTGGCCTGGACTGCCTGGGAGGAGTGTAATGCATGGGTTCTAGGAGAGGTGAGGCGCCGGGTGTCGAGAGTGGAGAGGACATGGGGCTGTCGCTTCCGTCCCGCATCTCGATCGACTGATGAATGATATCGTTTTCCTCCTCTTCGGGTTCCGGGACCGGTTGCTGATGTACCGATGACCTGCCTCGCTTGTTTCGACCGGAGTGGCTTTCAAGTGACTTGCGTTTCTTGGAGCGCCGGGATGGAGACCCGGTTTCCGTAAGTTCTTCGTCGTCGACAGGCATCGCTCCACTGGAAGCCGGAATCGTGATATCAGCGCCGGAGGCTGTACCTGTGAGCGCCGAGGCACCAGACTGTCTCTTCGTCCTGTCGAGGGGTGTCGACTCGCCATCCGGTCCTGAGTCGTCGTCTTCGATGGCAGCTTCCCGATCCACGTCCATGTTGTCTTCTTCATCTGTCATGAGGATTCGCGACGCCTGCGAGGTCATGGACTGAGATCTCTGTCGTCGTCCCTTCTGTGCTGTGCCCAAGATACTGGGCTCACGTGCTCGGCGCTTGAACAGACCCAGATTAAGTGTAGACATGACGCTCGGTGTAGCAGGCCCCTTACTACTTGGCCTAACAAGACCGTCCTCTCTGCCTGATACACTGTTTTGTCGTGGACGGTGGCGCTGGAAGAGACCGACATCGAACAAGGAGGTGTTGGCGGATCTGAAGCCACCGGCATTTTGTGCGGTGATTGTAGGGTCTTCGAGGCTGTCGTCGAGATCAAACATATCGTCGTCCAGTTCCAAGCCGGAGGTGTCACCTGTTAGTCGCCGGGGCGCTCGTGGGCTCATTCGGGTGGGATTCGCAGCATCAGGGTTATCGTCGGTGCCCTCTGTGCCGGTTGTTGAAGTCATGTTGACCAGCCGGTCCATGGTCTCGTCTCGCCTCTCCTTCTGGATCTCCAGCGCCTTAGTCTGGTCAGAAGTCATGTGTTTTTGGGCTGCTGCTATGGCGGCGGTGCGCTTGGCACGTTCCTTTTCTCGGTCGCTAACATCGTAGATATCGCTGCTGGGGTCTTTGGCAGTCGGTTTAGTGACAACAGGTGGGGTGGCTGAGGAGCTGGTCGCCGTAGGCTGCGATGGCGCAACCCGCGATTTTCTTGGTCTGGGCATCGTGAATGTGTCGCGGGGTTCTTGTCTGAGGTTGTCTGTGTCGGTCCTTGGGTCTCGGGAAGTTTGGAGAATTGGCAAGATTATATACTTGTATTTTAGGGCAGTTTCGTGGCAGTGAAATTCATGGCAGTCGGTGGTGCATGCGCATGTATCGGTGTTGCTCCAATTTCCCGGATTTCTGAGCAGACAAGTTGGGGGAATCCTGAACGCGAATGTGAACTTCTGTCGGCACTGGAGTAGGTGCGTATTGATGCACGGTGGAGGTTGATGGGAGGAAAGCGCAGCGCACATGCGACGCGTTCCTTGATCAACACTGGGGTAGGTACCAAAAAAAACTGGGCCCTTCAAGCGCGTGGCCTGGAACTGAAGTACCGTACTGCGAGAGGGGGGGTCTTTCGATGTGTACTTGGACATCTCCAAAACCCCCGATGTCAAACCATTTGCAAGTGCCAATTTACCGTCAATTGACTATTCAGCCCCGCGAAACGTCCGGGTTTCCAAACGTCCGGAGTTAAATTGTCAAAAGACTGTAAACTAACAGTATATCAGCTTCCACACATTCAAAAAACGAAACGTCGGGTAATTGAAATGTTTACGCAAGCCGTAATGCCTACTCGTCAGGTCTTCAAAAACGACCGTCTGACTAGTGGTTCCCGACGAGTAAGTACACATCACTAAAAATCCGAACTGTCTAAGAAAAGTTCGTAAGACCCCCCCTCTCACAGTACGGTACCTTGGTACCGAAATGGGACCCTGTAAGAATGCGGGGTGTGCAGGTCGGCAGGCAAGGAAGCGTCTTCCGCTCTTAGCAATAACTTCCAGAGTCCCGTCTTGGACCCAAGATGCAGATCCAACTTGATCTTTGAAAGCCATGGTTGTCAGCTGTGTTCACCCAGTTTTATTTCTTGTGTTGTGATATGTGGACACATGCAATTCTTGACTGCTTCTCGTAGATGGTCTTTATCTTACACCAACAGACGTGGTTATCACACCTAAAGGCATATATAATTGCCTAGTTAGCCCTAACCCTGAATTGTCAACAACAACCTCATGCTCAAGCAGTTCCTCGAGATCCCTGCCAGGAACCTCATTACGTCACTATCTGTAGCTAGCGTGGGTAGGGAGCTGGCTGCTGAAGTGGTGAACTCGAAGCTTTCAAGCAACAACTTCAAGCTTCCAACCAACGAACGAACAACAATCGACGGGATCAGCCCAAGGAATACTCCATAGAGATAGCTCCGGATTACCTTATTGCTTTCCGCCTTTTCATCAGCGCTTTACCAAGGCCCCAATTACAACCACCATCTGTCCATGAAGGTGACACAAAACCTGACAACACTCCGATCTTTCACAACATCCTCCCGTCTCATCACGAGCTTCACCACCACCAAACAACTCCCACCACAACAAACCGCCCCACTACCTCCCAAGATGGCCACCCGCATAGCCTGCCGCGCCGCCTTCAGGCGCAACGTCGTCCCCGTCACTCTCGGCCTCACAACCACCTTCGCCCTAGCATCACGACAACAGCCTCTGAAGCTGGACGCTTTCAGCTCCCAACAGTCGCGGTCTCTTCATTCGCAAAAGGACAACGAGAAGGAGTGGCTGAGTCCCGAAACTGTCAAGCAGCTTTCTAGCGGGAGTTTGAGCGGTATGTAGTTTTACCTGCGCTACAAGTACTCGTCTTCTTCTGATGCTGTATACGGGAGGCTAACATAAAAGCCTTTGCAGGTTTTGCCACGGGTCTTTTGATCAGTGTCTTTTCCAAGACACTTGTGCTGTTGGCTGGCGTTGGTATGGTGTTAGTTCAGGTATGTTCAACTTCACAAGGGAGACGTCAATATGTGGCATCACAACATGATGAAATATTGACTTGTGAATACCTAGGTTGCGTCTCGTTACGGCATCAACCTGGTAGACATGTTGCATCTTCGCAACCGTGTGAACTCGTCAAAGATCCTCAAGGCATTGCAGCACAAGGTTGCTTTCAAGCTTGCATTTGGCATTACCTTTGCGCTTTCAGCTTTTATGTCTTTCTAGATCAGGGGGGGGGGGGGGGGGGGGG